CCAAGGGGGAGCACAAAAAGATTGTGGTTTCTCATACTGTTGAGGTACGAAAAAAAGACAATGGAAAGGATATAGACCCCAGCATGCTGACTAATGTGCCTGAACTCCAAAACGGGGTTCCCAGTGTTTCTGGAGCCCCAGCTATGCCGAGGACCACTGTCACTCATGTGATTAAGACGACAGTGCCCAACCAAGTCTTTCACCAGCACACTCCTTCCCTTTACTCTCCCCCTTCCATTGATTCCAATAAAGACCTTCCAAAGGTGATGATCCCTCTCAGCAGCATCCCTACCTACGATGCTGCTATGGACACCAGCAGCTTTCTCAAGACATCCTTTGGCAAGTTCCCCTACCCAACCAAAGCTGAACTCTGCTACCTAACAGTGGTCTCAGAGTTCCCAGAGGAGCAGATCAAACTGTGGTTTACTGCCCAAAGGCTCAAGCAGGGCATAAGCTGGTCACCTGAAGAGATTGAGGAGGCCAGAAGGAAGATGTTCAACACTGTGTTCCAAGGTGGAGCACCTCAAAAGCAACCTCCTACACAACGGCACGTCAATCACATTGTAACCCACCACACTGTAACTGCTAATCCAGGCTCAAAAGGACCAAACTTTCAAATGGCCAAAGTACCATACGGCAGTTTAAAAACCAGGCCTGGTGGAGTCCTAACCACACAGGCAAGCTTGTCAACCAATCCCAATGTCACTAGGGTCTCATATTCTACTCCAATTGTTCCCCAAAAGTTTCCATCTGCAATCAGAACAACAAAGGTACCCACCAAGAATGCCCAACCCACTGTGGAGCCAGACAAGACCAATGGCCTCAGCCTGGACATTGCTGGAAGCAGCGGATGTGTTAGTAGCACCAGCAGCAGTCGAAGCAGCAGTAGCAGCAGTAGTTGCAGTAGCAGCAGCAGCATCAGCAGCTATTCCAGCAGTAATAATGGTGTTGAGACGTTCACCAAGAAACCAGTTCAAAACAGCAGCCCAACCAACAGCATTAAGAGCATCACCGCTTGCTCTACAAACATTAGCAACAATGATGAGCACTGTGTTGCTGACACAAATGGAAGACCAAATGGTAAAAGTAACAGTGTACCAATTGGGTTGGGAGATTCAAGCAGTACCAAGAGTCAAGTGATCATTGATAATACCAGCAAATTCAGCACCCCTAGTCACAACAGTGGCATCACTAGTACACAAGAACAGACCCATGCCACAAAGAGTGATGATGAACAAAACAACTACATTAACAAGACCAATATCAGCAGTATTAGCAATGAGTACCCCAGTTCTACTTGTAATGACAGTGTCCCTTACCTGAACCATGCCAGCAAATCCCCAACTGAAAGCACCAGCACCACTGTCATTACAAAAAGCAGCTCATTAATTTTAGATGAGCGTAAAGGTAACAAGGACTTTCCCATGAAAGGTATGTCAATCCTACAACAACTCATCAAGGATGATGACCCATATGCAAGGGACAGAAGCTGTCCAGAGCTGAAAGTTGACCCAATTAAAATCAGTTTCAAGAGGCTGAAGATGAATGAACCAGAGACTACATCTGAGATTGTGCATGACGAAAATAAGTCTGAAATAGCTGAGGTGTCTGCTTCTCAACCATCTTTCTCACCGCCTTGGGGTAACAAGACTCCTCAGCAGCTACACATCCTCAGACAGGTTTTCTCCAACACCCGCTGGCCAAGCAGTCAGCAGTACGAGGACTTGAGCGGCCAGACAGGCCTTCCTAAGTCAGAAGTGGTGCGTTGGTTCAGCGACAGCCGGTACAGCCACAAGAACGGGCAGTTAAAGTGGCTGGAGAACTATCAACGACCATCCACAGATTCAGAGGAAGTAAGGGGCCACGGAGATGTTGAAGTTGAGTCACCAAAGGACTCTCCAGTGGCAAAAAAGAAACTTGTTGAGAAAGACTTGAACAGGCACCTTAAAGGAGAAGATGGACTTAACTCAGGGCAGCGGGTTGTGTGGCAAGGTTCATACTCACCGCTGCTGGATCTGATGGGGCCCGGGGGGAATAACGACCAAGGCCATGCTGAGGATTCAGCACAGCCAGGAGTCCTGCAGGATCCATGGTCAGAGAGAGCAGAGGACAACCAGCAGCCAGTGGCCAGTCAGTCACTCATTGAACAGCAGGCTGATGCCAATCAGGCGAGGTACTTAAGTCATGATGCTAGAAATTAAAGTGTTGCTAAAGTTACTTATTTAGGATAAACGTATCCTTCGCAGTGACTCCTGATACTCTACGAGATAAGGACTAGTTATCCATCAAGACAACAAAACTATTGTAAGCCAAGCAGAATGATAAAAGCATGACAGCTTGTTCTTTGTTGTAGTTACTGTGTGATGTACAGTTAAAAGGAGGCAGGAGACGTGTGTACAGGTACTCATGCTGAGTGGCTTATTCACACAATCAAAGGTCTATGTTTAAGAAGCTATTTTTAGATAAGTAGGAGTCTGGGTTGTTGAATTATAGATTTAGAGCGCATGCTAATATATGTGAATAAATCATGACAATTGTCTTTGGTGAGAGGGATTTCGAAGAGCCATGCTTATATAGGCTTCTGTTTATAATGCCCCCTTATCAAAAGCACCTCCCTTGTGCAACTGCAATACAATTGAAGAGGAACTACTCCCTCACCTGATCACAGAGTGTTTATGTTGTGTTCATGCCTGTGTGTGTGTTTGTGTGTGTTGCTGATAGGGATCGCCTAAGGATGGAGTTGCTGGAGGTGTGATCAAGCAGAGCCAATCTCGCCAGAGGAAAATTATGTTTTAAGGCTGGCTAACTCCCCTGGCCGTGGTCTAAAAAGAGTGTTCATAATGACAGCAGATGTGATTGTAGCTGGACCGTTGGACTCTGACTGTAACTGTGAATACCCCCCAGCCCTCCTCCTTCTCTGCGTCCTCCTCCTCTTCCATCTGCCATCACTTCCTGCCATCGTCAAAAGAAAGAACTTCTCACCTTTGAGTCCTGTGATGTTTAAGCCTTTCATGCTTCTTTGTGGTTGTGTGGGGAGGGTGCACAATAAGGTCAGTAAGAGGGATCAAAGAAAAGAGAGACAAAAAGACGCACACTGACTGGAAAACTGACTTGAATGAGCGAAGATAGGATAAGATAAGGCAGAGAGATATTGTTTTTGGTCAGAGGGAGAAATATAAATATATGATTGAAACTGCACTATAAAAGAGGGTTTGTACTGACCGGACATACGAAAGATGTGTCAAGGAAATGTTATTGTTGGCTTTGTGATATTTTTTACTTTTTTAGCAACCAGTACTTCAGCACTGCCTTGAATTTTACTTTTTCCGTTTTTTGGGGGTTTTTCAATTCTATTTACTCTTCTATAGTCACTGTAAGTCCAGATGCAATCAAACATGGTTTATTAAGATCTGTATTAATGTTGGTGATCACTTTGCAGTTCAGCTACACGCAAGAGACTATATACAATGCACTAATGAAGACAGCAATGCTAAAAATCACACTGCCCCACTGCAAAGGTATTGACAGCTCTGTCAAGATCAATACACTACACTGCCCTGCAAAGTGAACAGAGAGAAGCCTGTCACGCTAACGTTGCCTTACTAAGCTCTGTCCATGTGTTTATATGACTGATCTGTCCATCACCTTGCTTTCCAGCTATTGTGCTGTCCTGAAAATACAAAAAAAAAACAAAAACAAAAAAAACCTGCCAGTGCAACAATGGTCACTGTTCGTCAATATCTGTGAAAAAAAAAATCTTGTGCTGCTTTCTGTACACTTGGATATGTTTAACTTTAAGCTGTAATTGTATCAAATATTGTTACTGGCAAAATGTTTCAAACAAAATTATCAATTTGATCCCTAGACACTGACAGAGTGAGATATTGTGCTAGCTAGAGAGCCAAATGAGGAGATCTTTGCTCTCCTTTGAATTTTGTTGTGTTTCTATAAACATACAGTCACTACATGAATCCTATTAAGCTGCATCTTTGTCAAGCTGCTAATAGCTAAGAACGGTGCTATACCATCCAAAGTGAAATTGGAGGTTGATCTCCTACCAGCAGTGTATGCACTTGTGTCGAATGTTACAAATTTATTTTGGTTCGCGATTAATGGAATCTGGACTTACGGTGTTATGATCACATAAAAACTTTTATGAAATAGTCTGATCATAAAGCACTGTTGTATCATCCTTTCTACACTTATGAATCTTTACAGAATAAACTGAATACACACCAACCCGTGTTGTCTCATTATTTGCCAAGCACCTTGCACAAGGAGAGGAAAAAATAAACAAATTGTACAATGGATGCCTATCAACACATTCAGTAAGGACTCTCCAGTGTCATGCAATGCTCTATGGTAGGAGGAGTGCATGCAGCCTCACCTGCTGGTAAACAGCAGACAGTACAAGTTGGTTCTGTTAGCCGAGTTATGGTGGACATGTGGAAGTCGGTTTCCATGGCAGACATTGGTCGCCATAAAGAAAGATAAAAGAAAGCCATGTATTTAGTCTGAAGGTGTAGTGTGAGGTATTTAGTTTGAAGTATTGATGCAGATGAAACCCAGAGAAACAGGCGCAGACTTGTCCGTTGGCACGGAGATGAAATCCTTTTTGGGCCAGAGTAAAGGGATGTTCCTGAACAGGAAAATAATGAGTAGTTGCAGAATTTTGTTTTCTACAATAACATACCAGTCTTTGTCAGCGGTTTAAATTTATGGATTTTTTTTTTTTTACATTAACCTTTCATCTGGTACACTATGTAAAAAGTCAAAGCCCCTTGTGTTTAGAAGAGATCAAATGTGTTTAACAAAGCAAATGAGAGTGCAACTCTAGCAGGACCACTTCCACGGCGGAGGCGCCAAAACCAACAGGCGGCTGTGCTATTTGGGGGCTCTGCTGAGGAAAAAGTATATTGTTTTTAAACTTGATTCTATAAGTTATTTGCTTAACGTCAGTGATTAAATAAAGAATCAGGCAAAAGAAATGACACCATACGTTAACTTGTAGGATTTTATTCATTTTTCAACCTACAATGAGCTTAAAACTCAAATAAAACATGATCAAAGCTATGACGGAAGGTAAAACAAGAATAAGATGTTGACTTTACAGCTACTTACATCAAATTGCTATTCAAGAGTGGAATAGATGAACTGAATTCACATTAAATGTTACATTTCTTTATCATCCTTTACATAATTAAAAAAGACTGCCTCTATTGTAACAGATTGGTGATTTTTTGGCAAAGTGGATATCCCTCACATACCCTTCTGGAAAGCAACACTTTCCTTTTACTGACTTTAAATACATTATCATAGCATTATCTTCAAGTAACAATGGGAGATCTTTCTAAAAACAATTGTTAAATTAAGTTAAAAACCAGATGAAGAGAGGGCAACAAAGAGATTGAGAGGATGCTTGCAGCTCAAAATGAATGGTTCACATTTACACTGAAGATAGAAGTCCCTGATGGAGGCTGTAAAACAAAATATTCACATTCTGCTTGCTTAAGTAAAAATCCACATGGTTGCATTTTTTTCACCTTTTACCTGCCACGACATCCTCTTTCATGCTTAACAATTCAACAAAGTCCAGTTTAAAATATTCACCCAAACAGATCATTTCGTTGGCCAAGGTTCTCTCACGCACACACACACGCACGCGTCAGACACACACAAACATCTCATCAAGCTCACTATTCCGTTTCCTCGAAAGGCGCATGGGTGTTAAGAATTAATTTGATTTAACTTTGTCTATCAAAATATAGAATTCATTAATACATGGGAGGCTAAAATACAGAGCAAAGTGAACAAGAAAAAATAAAATGATAAAAGCATTTTTTTTTTCTTTTGTTTGAATACAGTAGCTGTAGGACCACAGAGTTCAGTTCAGGCATTTTTTTTTGGAGGGAGTGAGACAAAGTTAAAATTGTCTTCCGATAACAGGGACTTTGCCTCGATGTGGGTATAGTTCAGCCTTGATGCCCGATCTCAGATCAGATGTTTAAGACCACCCACAACCCCCCTGCCACTTCAAAATGGCTTCTTTTTATCTGACCGTGTTGCCACCGTTTTCCTCTCAAACTTTCTAAAATTCCTGGCAGGTCTGGCCATCGAGTAAAATTGACTTAAGCTAAAAAACAAGTATCCAATAAAAATGGGTGTATCATAGTTAAAACCACAAATTGGGATTTAAAATTCATAGTCCTCCTCTGCCATATCGATGGCCCAGGCAAACTTCTCACGCTGCGTTTTGTTGTAGATCTTCTCCACAGGGATGCCCCACTTCTTACACCTAAGAAACAGAGAGGGACATTTGAATGGAAAGTGGCTCCTCTTCTTGTCCTTTGTGCAACTTTGGCTCCAATTAGGGGAGTCAGTGATTCTTAACACAAGGTTACATATTGCATCTTACCAAGCCACAGAGATGCGAGGGTCCAGATAGTTAAGCTTGGAAGTGCCAAGTGCAATTTGCTTGTTCTCTTCACGATCAGTTGCCTGCACCTCCAGCTTCATAAGCTGGTCCTCTAGCCTCTCAACGGCCTTCTTCTTAGTCTCCACAGTCCTACATAACAGACACATGGCACACAATCAGAAATGTAGGAAATAGTTGGTTACCCATGAACACAGCGATTTTATTCATACCAAAGTTTAGACACTTACTTTTTGGATCTTTCATCTCTTCGTACTTTAGCATCTGCCTTGGAGCTTTTCAGTTCTCTCTTGGCATCTGAGAGCTGGTCCCTTTTTGCATCAATCTAAGAAAAGTACTTGATTAGGCAATACAATGACACACACTGCTTAGGTTCTACCATGCAAAAAAATCATATGCAAGTACAATAAACAGAGAAACCTGCCCATAATCTACAAGAGTATTTGTCAAGCCCAATGTTTGGGGACATTCAGATAATTTAAAAAAAAAAGAAAAGAAAAAGTGTTTTTTCCACACATTCTCTCCTTAAAAGATTACAGAAGGTCTTCAAGCAGACTGCCCCTGAAATCCTACTCAGTTGGTCCCTTACAGCGTGAGACTATCCCTGACTAAAGAAGCATGACGTAAAAAGAAAGCTGTTGAAGTGATAGAGAGGACAGAATGGCTGTATGATCTATAATGAGAATGTTTGCGTTTATGCAACCTGTAGTTGAACAAATTACATTCTGGCAAACAAAAATATTCAGCTGTTTTATTACATGCACAGAGATCTCACTGGCCCCATGCATAAGGTTTATGGTAATTTGTCAATTGTGAGATGTCAATGTCACCCCCCTCTTATACAGTGAACTTTCCTGAATATAAATATTGAGCTGATATTTCCTGAATATCAGCTCAACACTGACATTTACAAGTGGGCTAAGTCAGAGTGAAAATGTGGCTGTTTGTGTTCGTACATCCCCCCCCCCCCACAAACATGTCCATTTGTTTTCACATTAATATAAACCTTCTTCAGGTTACTTTGAGAGAGTAAAGTCAGATGTGTTACTTTCAGAAAAGACAATGTGTCCATATTTTTATGAACGCTACACTTTTTCTCTGATTGGGTTTGAGTTCTTCCAGCATCAAATTTTCCATTTAATGAGACTTAGAAATAATATTTAGGAGCTGTGAGGCTGTGTTACAACATGTTACAAAAAAACTCACCATACATTAGACTATCAATTTACACTTTACAATCACTTTAGTTTTTTTAAAACCAATGATGTTGAGTGTTCATATGTTCACCTTAGTCTGCAGGTTCTGCATGGACTTCTCAAAGGTCTTAGGTGGAGCCCTCTGATGGTTACACAGGATGGCCACAGCCCTGTTAGCCCTGTTGTAGGACAAGATCTTGGCCGTAACGTTTTCATCCGCTAGAAAGACATACAGATTACGATCAATTAATTTTATCAGCATGCTCAATTTCAAAATGAACACCCAGGTACAACAGTGCCTATTATCATTAACTAACATGTAATCCAATTGTCTGCTTGTTGATACTATTATTTAACCCTACGTGGGTCTGAATTGAGCTGTATGCACGTACAATTTTAAGTTTGACAATATTTGACTCAACAGGACACGAACCGTTTGTGAGCGCCTTTAGCTGCTGTTGCAGGGTGATTGAAGCGTTGTAGGTACGGAAAACTTTGGCAGTCAGTCCGTCCATCAGCTCCTGAAGATGTTTGTTCAGAACAGAAGTCTGGAGGGAGCAATGAGAAGTACAGCTTTTAAAAGATATCAGTGTTAAGAATAAACACAGCTACCTCTAAGACTAGACAATTTTAGTATCTACTGAATAAACATCTATGCAAAAGGAAACTCTACCTGTTCCAGTGTAGAAACCTGATATGGTCACTAGCTTCCTCTCACACACAATATATATTACATATAACATAGTAATACTTTGCTTACATTCAGGCGGTCAAACAGGTCGTCATCAGGCTCCTTGTTCTCCATAAACAGCTGAAGATTCTTGAATACCTAAAAGAAACAAGACATGATTATACAACTGCAATGTTTGCACACTTTAAAGAAGAAACTAAAATAAAGCTATCCACTCCTTACCCTTTTCTCCACAGGTACTTTGTTGTAGTAACGGATGGAGTCTTTACCAAGGAAGTCAAACTCCACCACAAACTCCTGACCGTCGTTTTCTGGATAGAGTTTGATGTGTTCGACTCTTACAGAGCAGCAGCCCACAGTGTCTGCAGTCTCTCCTTCCTCCTTCTCATTACCCGCTCTCAAAGCGAGCTAGAGCACACCAGGACAGTAGGATTAGAGCTGGCTTATACAGCTATTACTCTCACTGCAGCTAATGTTTAAGCACCTGCTAAACCCTGCTCACAAAAAACAGTCATTATTCAAAAACCAATTACACTGCATTAACTCTATCAGCTATATAAACTTAAGGACAATGTCAATAGTAATCATGCACCTCACCTTGTCGATGAAGTAGAGAGCCACAGCCCGCTGTCTGATCCGCATCTCCTTAGACTTCCAGTCCTCGCGATATTGGGTTCTGATGCGGTCAACACATTTCTTCAGTCTACGAGCGGTTTCATATTTCTGCCAATCCTTCTCTCCCTGCAGACAACAACCAGTGTTTAAGAATGAGTCCCAGATAAACTAATGGTTTAGATTGAACTATTTTGCATTTACAGAAAAAAATAAAACATCCAGGCTTATGAGCACAGATTAAATAATGGAGCCATTATCTGCACAGCAATATAATGTGCTGATGAAATATGAATGAAAAAAGGAAAATCACCACGCTTACTAAATCCCACTTGTTGTTCTTATTAGTGTACTTCACTTATTTAAGGAATTACTAACATCCTTCAAATAAAGAGGTGAATTTGTAGCTCCAACATTTACATTCCAGGAGAGAAACTAACTAAACTGATATAAAAGATCTGAGTCAAAAATAATAATCTACAAATGCTTCACAGTCTACATGGGAGCTCGGCCCATTTGCTCCTGTAACAATTCTCAATGGTGCTTTAAATCCATTAAATAAACCATAAACAAACCAGCTCAGATGGCCTAGCAGTAAGGTCGAGCCCCATACAGAGGCTGCAGTCCTCCAAGCGGGTTCAAGTCTGACCTGCAGATCCTATCCCGCATGTCTTTCCCCAAGCTCCTAATTTCCTACTCTATTCACTGTCCTATCTTAATAAAGGCAAACAAAAAGTACAGTCTAGCATTAAAAAAGGGAAAGGGGGGGGTCTTAGAAACATTTGCTTATTGTAGTATGCATATTAAGCCTCAGGGAAAGCTTCTAGGTTGGATATTTGAGAAAGTCAGATTTATTGTAAACATACGAGTTAAGTACTCAGGTCTATACCATAAGCAGCAATAAGTAGTTATATCCTGCTGCAGAAACACAATCCTAAAGTCTAAGTCCTGCACTGATTATTACTTGAGTAAAGTGAGCTCAGAAAAAAAAGGCTGAAAGACCAGCACAAGTAGAGTTCTTCAAATGTCCAGAGTAATGACTGAACTGTTAGTGCAAGGCATCTATTGGGTTCCACTGACACTAGTTTAAGATAAATAAGGAGTTTTTGGAGATGCAAACCATGCAAAGCTACTTTTTAAGTTTCACAGACTAACAACACAAAAGGCGAAAAAGAGGGGCGCGCTGGTGGCGCTGTGGTTAGGGCGCGTGTCCCATGTGTTGAGACTCTCGTCTCGAGCGGTAGGCCCGGGTTCGCTTCCACCCGTGGCCCCTTTCCACATGTCATTCCCCGCTCTCTCTCCCTGGTTTCCGACTCTATCCACTGTCCTGGATAGGCCTAACAGCAAGAACCGTATTCCATGCATCAAAGGAACATTGGCTAACCCATTTTCAAACCAGGTCAAAAGCACATTGTAGTACAGAACCACCAACCCACCTTGATCCGGGAGCTGGGGTTCAGCATGATGTACTTAATGGAGCCTTGAATGTTCTCAGTCCACGACACCAGCCAAGTCACCTTGTTGTCATGACGAACCTCTTTCCACTTAGTGCCTGGAGGAGGCTCAGGGTGCTTGGAGTCCCTACGAGGAGCACATTTCAATATTACATCGTTTAAAACATTAGTTCATTATCAAAGGGCGAAAACAACAAAAAAAAGCAAGCTATCACTCACTTGCTGCAGTTGATGATGATGTCTTTAGGCCTGATGCGCCGCTTAAGCATTCCCATCTTAGGATGGTCTCCACGGCCCCGGAATAGGCCTGGGGGCTCAATGCGAAAGTTAGCAATACGTTCCCTGTGGTTGTCCATGATGCAGAAGCCATACTCCTGCAGCATCCGCTCATTCTCCTCCTTGATTTTCTTTAAATAGAAGGAGAAAAACTCACGTCACAAATCCAGTCTGGTAAAGGTCAATCATTTGAACAATCACGAAAATATCTTATGCCCATTTAATTCTGTATTAGACCGTCATATGGCAACTCCAAATTATTCACTGTTTATTCACTTCATGTTTCATTCCACTCCTTAATGGAGAAAAGTCGATTAAGTTAATATTATTTACAAACAAATCTGCCAGAAGCCTTTAATATCAATAACACTTTCAACAGAAGTCAACAAGGGTGGGATTGTCTGATTGGGTTTCTGGTAACTTATTGGGTCACCCATTTAACTCTTTCATTATGCAAAGACTGTCAAATTATTTTGATACAATTCATATATAGAAGCTGACCAGTTTGTCCTCCTTTGTCATGGCCTTCCTGGCTTCAGATTGCGCCTTGAAGTAGTCACTCAACTCAGTGAAATTGCACTTCTTCAGGTCTGTGATCTTCGCCTTCTCTTCTGATGACATTTCCTGAAAGAGCAAATTAAGACACTCAAACATGAACAGAGATTTTTTTTAATCTAAAATCTAGCAATGTAATACTGATTTATTTTCTAACCTTCTTCCAATCTTTGAAGAAGTTTTTGCGGAAGATGTCCTTCGTTGTGTACTCGTGGTCGAGCATTTTGGCGAAGAATGTTGCCACCTCTTCTGATTCTGGACTGAGCTTCATGTGCTTACCTTTACAAAAAAAAAACATATAGGTGTTTGGTCAGCCACTGAGAAGACTCTTAATTCTCCAAATAAGCCAATGACAGGTGTAGAAGTTAACTTGTCCAGTGTGACGTACAAGCTTACCATCATAGTAAAATTTGACATTGCTGGGCAGAGGTTCATAAGGAGGAGCAAACACAGGACCTTTGTGTTCCAGAAACTTCCATTTGGAGCCGTCTGTGTATCTCTCTTCTTCCCACCTGTAATCACATTAACAAAAGAAACATTGAATAATCTAGAGAACATAGTACATCATATTATTACACACAATACATTCACAGCAAAGTAAAGGAAGACTTTAATAACTTACCATTTCCACTTCTCTTCTGGCTCTTTCTTCGCTTTCTTTTTTCCATCAGCGACTTCTCCTTTTTTGTTTTTTGTCTTTTTGGACTTTATGTCCTAAAAAGGGGAAGAATGTAAAAACATCTTAGTATGAAACTGACATGTTCTTCAGGTGCTGTCATTTTGTGCCTCCAGTAAAAGAAAAGGAGGACCCCTCTGTCTTAGGTAGTGACTCTATAAAAATCCTTAAATGTATATGATGCTTACCTCATTCGGTTTCCTTTTCTTGGCCTTCTTGTCATTTTCAATCTTTATTTTTTTGGGCTTGAATTCAGACCTGAGAGATACAGTGAAACAAATGAGGTCACAGACAACCACACAAATAATCCGGCTATAACAGCAAACATATGGAAGTTATCTAATTGCAAAGGTAACTCACTCATTGTCATCATCCCGTTCTCTTTTCAGAGACTTCTCAAGTTGAGGAGAGTGGTAAAAATTCTCTTCAGGCTCAGACTTCACATGTGGAGGGCTGCACAAGAGAAAACGTTAAAAATCAGAAATAGATACTGATCAAATCGACTTCTGGTGGCTCAATGTAACACTTCATCGTAATGCAAAGAGTGCTATACCTGGCGAAGCCATTCTCTTTTTCCTTTTTCACTTTACCATCGAAGGACTTCATCTAAAGGGGGAAAAACAGTTTAAAAAAAAACTTTGTCAAACAAATAACAGATTCATTCAATGTGGATTAACTACTCGTCATGTTACGCAATTACTGCATTTGATATAAAAAATAACAATCCATATGTAAATGAGGATATTCTTTTTTTAAAAGTAAGCCAACTCTAACAAAATGTTTTCTGGCTGCTTGACACAAACTTCAATGATGTGGCCATTTTATCCCCCTTTACATTCAGCTACCAGTTGAAATAACTGAGGGCTGTGGACATTTGAATTTTTATTAGACAGTAAAATACTTAACCCTTCAATCCCATCGTTACATGGACAACCAGACTACACACTACATGTGCATTTTGAAATGAATTACGAGCATGTAATTAACCTTCTCCTCCTTCCTCTTCTCCTTGTGCTTGTCCTTGTATTTGTCTGTGCTGCCATCTTTGTGCTTCAGCTTCTCCTTGTCCCGGTGTTTTTTGTCAGAGGACTCCTTGTGATCACTGGAATATTTAAGACATACAAAAGGACAATTAAGGGTTTTAACAAACTCCATTAAATACAGATAAACCAAGTGACCTGGTTGCATAGCTTGTTGCCTTTTGGGCATTTATTAGAAGTTGAGTTCTACTTACCCGTTACCATGCTTTGATTTCTCTCGCTCCTTGTCCTTCTTGTGGTCCTTATGTTTGTGTTCCTTGTCTTTGTACTTGTCTTTATGCTTGTGAGAGTCTGAGGAAGAAAACAGTCACTTTCTTTACAAGAGAACACAACATTCAAACAATCCCACAATGGACAATAAATAAAGGATTGTGATGTATCAATGTAAAGGTGGTAGCACATGCATGACCAGTGTACTTCTGTACACAAGTATCAAGTAAGACAAAAAACATGTACTCTCATTAACAGGATGCTAATGCTGACACTCACAGATAAGACAATGCTCACCACCAAATCAGAAGAGCCCCACCCACATAATTCAAAACAAATTAAATTGTTTCAAATGAGGTCTTAACATGCATAAAAATCTCAACATTATGTGGTGCGTAGACTAAACATCTATTGCACAGTAGTATAGCACCTCCTGTTACCAGTACGTGCGTCATTCTTAACGACACAATACGAAATGGCAGGCAAGTTGATACATGTTACTGAACAAAAAAAAAACGTCATTCACACGATATTGGTCAAAATTCAAGAGCAGTCCTTTGCCCACCAAAGTGTCACGAATGACAAAGCTAAAAGATGTAGAGTCACAAACACAGCTGACAGGAAACTGCTAGATGACAAACAGCTACTAGGAAAATATCCACGTTCAAAGAAATATCAATGTTAGCCATGTCTAAATGTTGTGCACTTAAGGTGAAGCTACTGTAATTTATTTGTACAATTAAGGCTTTCTATTGTTGTGTAGACCACCTCTTATCTCGACAACACATCCAGTATATGAAATGATAGAACTGACTTGTAACTCTAAGCTCAATGTGTGTGTTACATCTTCATTAACAGCCCTTCCCTGCACTCCTTCATGGTACTGAGGAGATACTAGAAAGCATATGTCAAAGATTCTCAGTTGATGGATGAAATACTTTAAGGCTGAGGAAATGTTATGTCACAATCGTAATAATTAATTGTAATAATCACATTAAGCGGACTAATAGCTTTGTATAAATCTAGAATTATCAATGCACAAAATGACAAATCTAAGCCAGACAAGTAATCCAGCACATGTGGTTTTTACATTTTCTACTACAAGTCAACACAGTTAATAGTTGATTGTTATAATATTCAATTATATATTATGTTATTCAGGATCACTGATTTTTTTTAAAAAGTATAGTAGTAAAATAGGTATCATGGTTTCTTTGTTATTGACACCTTGAAATGTTATTTAAAGAACTTAAAAAATAAGATAAAAACACAGAAAAATGTTAAGTTTTACATACAGATACCAACAAGACTATTTTACATCGTTATTTATTTGACTCAGTGTGATGATTCACTGTAATCATTGGTTTATTTGTTACTTTGTGAAACGTAATGTAACTTAACACAGTCTCCCTTTCCTAGTAGGCTATAGGGAAACTAGTCCCTTTAACTATAATGAAAATAAAGCCCCTAAAGCAGCCAAAAGGCGTTTTAATAGCGCTTTTATCTACAGCTAGACACTTCGTGGTCAGCACATGGTATCTTAGCGGCGCACTGTGTCTCCTCCTCACAGCCATCTGCACCTCACAGCCTGGGTTCAGCTCGCAGTGCAGTCAGGCCGCTGCACAGAAAAAGAAAATGGCGCAGAGACTAAGTCCTCAACCCCCAAACCCTCACTTTCAGATGGCAAATACGGCATAAAAACCAAGCAAACAAGATTTTCTAATACGACGAACTGATAAAACACCTCCGGGTGTGTTCAAGTAATGACAGAAATCAAGAAAATATTAAGCGGAAAAGCTTTTATTTGGGCTCCCATTTGAACAATAGGAGCCTATGAGTGAGACAGAGGACTTAGTCTCTGGACGCCATTTCTGTCCTCTACTGAAAACTAAGGCAACGTTACATTTGTTCAGGGAAACTGGTTAAATAACTCCCGTTTATCACAAACTTACCATTAAAACGCGATCCTGAGTCAACCTGAAAAACCAAAAAAACACATGGATGTTAAATTTCGTAGTTGCTAACCAGTCGGCTAACTAACTTTGAACTTGCTGGATAGCAGAGCGACACACTGCTAGCTCCTCGCTAAGCTAGCTTGCTACGCTGGTTTGATATTATGGCTTAGCTGATGCCGACACTGCTACTGCTAACACTGGCTACTACAGACAAGACCAGTGTGGGTGTAGCGTATTCCTGCTTTCTCTTTATGTTCATACTTTAACAACAAACCTCAAATCAAACTCGGCTCTAACTTTCTCTGACTTAAAGAATTTCAAATGTGGTAAAACGTGTCAGCAGGCTGTTCACAACAAAAATTAGTTACTCGGCTAACGCTAGCAAACACTATTCACAGTCAGCTAAGTTACCCTGTCACAACCAAGACGAATAAAACCACAACAGGAAACTATGTCCATTTACTATCATTGATGGAATTACCTGGTCCTCACTGTGGGAATGATCCCCACTCATTTTCGGGTCGTTTTGTGATTTAAAATGTAAAATGAGTAACGTGTGGCCTCAGCACACACCGGGTAGGAGATGCAGCCAGAATGAAGAAAAGACACAGTTGTGTAAGAGAAAGAAGTCCCACTTGTATTCGAATGCGCATGCGCATTAATTTAAATGGTTGAGGCTTCGTAGCTCCTCCTCTTCTGAAAACATGTTCTCCCAGGCACTTAGGTTGTTGTCACACAGTGTTCTGTAGGTGACACAGAAAGCAGGAACACGATCTGCTCCTAGTAAAGAGGAAACTTGTGAGTCCGAATCAGTATGTTGTACGATTAACGTGATAAGTAACTGAGAGCAGCTTTTTGTGCATATAACTCTTAATAATAGGCCTAATATTGATGACAGAAACAAATGATCTGTCATCAACATGTCGAAGGATGTCTGTCCTTCATTGTGGCCCATTCAACCAGTTAATTTATTGAACATATCAAGTTACACCTCTTAGTTCGTCCAATGACAGATTGGGTTAAACAATTGAATAATTATAAGAAACTGACATTCATACTAACACAACATCTATGGCTGTCATCAAGGCAGAGTATTAAAGGAGTCTGTCCTGCTCCCCCACCCCACCTTGAGTGCATCCAGGCCTATCAAAATAACACATTAAAGGCAACAAGCTTCATGCTGATGATGACAGGAGATTTTTTTTAATTAATCAGATTATTTTAGCAAGGAAACCCCCAAGGAGACCAAAGTCTCTTTTCCAGAGAAAAGAGACAAATACAAAACAACAATACAAAAATGCAATACAAGACGAATACAATAATTTTAAATTATTATATTTTTTATGCATAACCCATGACCTGGTTAAAAAGTCACTTTTAAAGCAGGTTCAATTATTTTCCTTTAGTAGTAGACACTCTTTTAAATGTCATATGATACAGAATGCAGTTTAGCCATCATTTAAAAAATCCATAAAGTAGGTGCAACAACCCTAAAAGCATGTCTTCCCCCATTCAGCTCTAACCCTTGGTACTTTTTAAAGTGAATGTCTGTTTTAGAATAACATTCATAATAAAGTGAATGTCTGTTTTAGAATAACATTCATAATAAAGTGAATGTCTGTTTTGGATTCATTTTAAAATTCTGTATTAGTCATGATAATTGTCTTGGTGGTTCTGTTGAGATAATAGTAAAACATGCTGGTGGCTCAGTGGTTTCTGCGCGCGTCCCATGTATGGAGGCTGTGGTCTTCTGGGCGGGCAGCCTGGGTTCGGGTCCGTCCTGTGGCTCCTCTCCTGCATGTCGTTCCCCACTCTCTCTCTCCCCGGTTTCTGACTCTATCCACTGTCCTAGCTCTCAAATTAAAGCCCAAAAATAAACCTTAAAAAAAAAAAAAAAGTCAACCGTGTTGTGTTTTTTTCAGGGAGTTTTTCCAACACAGCCTTACAAACACAAGTAGTATTTTGTCATGTTTTTTTTTAATCATACAGCCTATTTGTTGGAGTTGCTTTCAACACAACCATGTTGAAAAATGATTTTTGATTAAATCAATCATGTGTGTTTTTGTTATCAACTTTTCCCTGGCACTCTTACCTGCTGGTATGAACAAGCATACTTGATTAAGGTAACTTGATGACTTGATATTTGAGGAGTGCATGATGATGAAAACTTGTTTCTGTCCACAAGAGGGCATTACAGTCCATGGGCACATTATACAATTCGCCTGACTTCACAGAATCTCAAAGCACCACATGAATATTTAGTTCAGACTTATAACTAAGATGTTCGTGATTTGACTAAACAAAAAAATCCACACTGTAAAGGGTTTAAAGAAAATTCAACAGGAGGTTGACTATCTTCTGATGGGTTTTTATATTGAATATATTATGTAATATACTTATATGAGCTAGATAGTTTTAAATGTGCAGTTACATTAAAGATAGCTGTGCAAATTCAGTGATTACATGTGTTAAAGTGCAAATAAGTGTGCAGACATGTTATCAGCTCATTTGAACAGATGTCAAAAAGGCGAAAACTATGTATTTCAGCATTCCCACTAATAAAAATTTGGATAACAATAGTGTGAATGCTGTATTACAGCATATCCACTAATGAGTGGATACACTGATCAAGTGAAATTGTACGTGCAAGGACAATGTGCAAACTTTACAGGAGGAGAACAGGTTTCAATTTGAAATTGACAGAGATGCGCAGGATGACAGTTCACTTTTGTACAGACTTATTGATTTCAGTAGAACATATTTCCTGTATCCGTCCTTGTGACGGCAAAGCTGAACCATTCTGTTGGAGAAGGTGCTCCCCTGTCTGTCCAGCAGGTGGTGCAGAGGGTGGTCAGGAATAACCATAATGGATAAGTTTGTTCAGTGTCCTCCTTTCTGTCTCTTTTACAAATGAGTCCAGCTTGTAATTTAAAATGTAATAAACCTGTAAGAGTTACAATATTTTGATCTTATCTTTGTATCATCCATTGTTTTGTAAATGCTTTTATTTTTAATTTTATTGCTTTAATATTAATTAATAGATCTACCGATACACACTTGTTAAATTACACAGTGTACTTGTTTGAAATAGGCTACAACTTAGTATACCTGTACTTACAGAATTTAAGATGTCCTTTAAGTTTTAAACATGAAATGCAAAATGTTATTATATTTAACTACCAAACATTTTGCAACACCACACAAAAAAAGTCCCCAAGTGTTCAAGAAGACTTTAATTTATCAAATAACTGGCAAACACAAACACAAATGAGGCAATAAAAACATATTTAAATTTTCTTTAAAATTCTTGAATAAATAATCAGAGTAACATTATACTGCTCAGTTCCTCTCCTTACATCAACACCAACTTTAACCACAATCATTCAAAGACAATCTCTGTACAGTATTGTTTTGCACTTCAATAATATTTTTTTTTGTCCCTCAAGTTAAAATCATCCATTTCAGGTCCTGCTGTATGGATGCAATAACAAACACAAAATGTAACTGATTCAGCATATATGCAAGGTTATCAAGGCACTGTTATGGGAACAGTTTGTCCTCATCGTCACAGGCCTTTACTCCTGATGGTTTGTCTTTGACAGTGGCTTGGTTGGGCTCTGGTATAAAAACATGTAAGAGTCACACAGCAGCCGTCGCACTAGTTCAGGAGCCTGAGTGGGGTCAGCTCGAGCCAGCTCTTCCTCTGGCTGGATCAGGAAGTCACCCAACTCCGGACAAGCCCTGATCTCTGGAATATTGTAACCATGTTGATCATCACCTATAAGAAAGAGTCACTTTTGGATTAGACATCAGCTTGAGAAGAGATAAAGACTAGTCCATAGACGTCAGAGTGGGGCTTTATCTTAAACTGTAGAGACCTTCTTATCAGTGAAGGCAATCACAGGGGAACATTTCTAAGAAAGGCAAAGCAAGGCAGAATTTTTCCTTGCCCCTGTTACTTTGCTAAATTTTGCCAAGTGCTATGCTCATGATGCATTAATGTTGGGTCTTTGAAAATAATATAAGAAAGAGTACCGTCTGCTCTTTTTATAAAGTGTCTTGAGATAACATTTGCGTTATTGATTGATATTTGTAATTGTAAATATTTCTTGTTTTGGCCAAGAAACAACTTATGCAATCAAATCACACAGAAATAATAATAGCTGGATTCTATCTTACCGTATCTATCTGCCATGCTGTCAAAGAAGAGCCAGGAGTGAGGATCAGAGCCATACTTGACAAAGGACACATAGTGGCTGGTGTGAATGCAGAGTACAGCAAACAGCTGCATCATGTGCCTGGGCACAGAGGTATCAGCAGCCACATCTGCTGGTACTGCTAGAGCTTTGGGGGAGTGAGCCTGGCGCAAGGGATGGGTGTGCACCTTTAGAGAAATATATAAAGTAGTTAGGTTTACAGTGTAAGTTAAGTTAGTGAGGAACTTGATACTGAACTGAAAATGGCCATCTGGCTTACCTGTGTGTTGCAGGTAGAGCAGTACTGTTTGATTCTCCCTGGCTGCAGCTTGCGATCTGGTAAACACTGAAGACACTCGTACTCTGCCAAATGTCCACAGATTAGGCATTCCCTTGGGGCTGTAAGGAAACGTAGGAAACACATAAGCACCTCTGAGCACTTCAAAAACAATGCACTGAGTTCAAATTGATTGTATTACACATCAAAGGGGATTATGTCTGTTTCTCACAGTTGTAGAGAAGATCAGTGATGTCCAGCTCAGTGGAGGGGATGATGTGTGAAAACATCTTGTACTTGTTCCCAAACCTTGGCATCTGCACCATTAAACAAGATGGCACCTGATGGACCAATGAGAAAAGCGAAGTTGTAGTTACAGGAATTTGAAGAGGAATTAAACCACGAGAGGTTCTTTTGATGGTAAGAGGAGTACACACTCACCTCTTCAAACTTGAGGTCACCTGACATGCAGGATGTATCAAGGAGCTGTTGAACAGTGGGCAGCTGTCCCATCTGTTCTTTTTCCAGAAAGATCTGGAAGGTGTAGGCACCCTGAGATGTTTCACTTTTTGATCTGAAAAGAAGCCGATTTCAGGACTCAATTTTTCAAAGTCAAAGACGAATAAATATTGAAGACACAGTGGCTCAGGATCTTACTTGAGCTTGAGCAGAGGCTCCATGCAAAGCACCTTCTGAAAGAGGACGGTGATGAACTCCTCTGGGTCTGCAATGAAGTAAAGCGATACAAACATAAAATACTGGAATGGCATGCTTTATTTTGGTGCAAAGCCAAATGCTTCCTATTAAAATATGTGTTTTTAAAAGTGTATATTACACATTTGGGTGTGTACCTTTTTCATCTGTTTGGAATGTGTCACAGCCAAGCTGTGTACGGAAATGCATCACACTCTCAGCAGGCACAAACCCTTGTCTGAAATAAATACATGTGGTATCAGTAAATAAAAAAGGAATCTAAAAATTGGAGTTTCTGTATAAATAGAACCTATCAAGATGCAACCTCTTATGCAACCTGTCACTCGCCTATTTTGACTTGTGTAAATAAAAGATCCCTATCACTGAACCAGGCAGAACTTGTTTACCAGTTGAGATTATGTAAAATGTCCTGCTTCGAATGATCTGCAGAAAAAATGATG